AGGGCCCGAGAGCAGAGACGTCTGCGATCGCCCGGAGGGCGCCCTGTCCTGTCCCCGACTCCCAGGCGCCCTGGGCGCTGATCTGAGGCCGGATGTTACCAAGGACAGGGTTTAGGTCACCTGCCCTCCAGCCTGACTCGGGGCCTGGGTCGAGGGGAAGATGGCCCAACCTGAGGACTCCTGCCCCGCCCTGTGGGCAGCTGCACCCCCACCCCCAGTTGTGCTGCCCTAATGGCTCTGTGGTTGCAACGTACTTGTTTGTCATTCCTTTAAAGACCAAAAGCTTTCAGAGATAAAGCCATTTACTTTTCCATAGTTGCCATTAAATTATTTAATGAACTGGAGCAAACAGGAGATTAGTCATCATTGTGCAAATTTTAATGGAATGTTTTTTCCAATCATTTTATCATGAAGACCTTAAAGCAAAAGTTGAAATCATTTTACTGGTGGGATATTTTTTGGTATTTTTAATTTCTGGACCTGATCCCTTTTTATTTTAGGTTCAGCCCAAGGTTTTTTTTCTATCTTTAAAACAGAACAAACCCAATAAAGGTGTGAATTTGTTCAAATTTCACTTTTGCAGAACAGTCTCATAAAACAAGGTTCGTTTTTTATGGAAGCAAAGTGACAATGAAATTGGCAGCAGTTGGTCTGTGACTGAACCTTTCTCAGTAACTTTCCACGTTTGGGATGTGCTTGGGAACACAGGCATTTTTGTTGAGCACCAGTGAACTTCCCTGTTCCACAGTTACCACATTGTATAGAAATGCAGGTCTGTGCCCAGCTGGCCACTCCCCCTCCAAGGTTAAGAAAGGACTAGTCACAACTCAAGAGGGCCCATCTTGAGCGGTGGCCCTTCAGAATCTGCTCATTGAACTAATGCTGGTATTTATAGGATCCATTTATTTTGTCCTTCATCCTTTTTTCCCCCTCTTCCTCCCCTCCTCCCTCCTCCTACTTGCTATTAACGTAAGGAACTGGATAGAGTAGTTAGGAAGTCAGGCTCTGGTGCCAGGCTGCCCCGGTTCGAATGCAGTGGCTGTGCTTTTACTTGCAGCAAAGACTCAGTTTGTTCATCTGTAAAATGGAAGTGATAATGCCATTATTAATGCATTATGAAAGTTACTGTATATGTGTGTTACAGCAGTATCTGTATCACAGTGGTAGCTGTTCTTGATATCTGCTCCTCCACAGAAGGTGCCAGGAGCCAGAGATGCCTACTTTGTTTGCAGCTATGTGATTCACAAGAGAAATATTAAGGGTCAACTATACCTAAAATTAGTGAGGCACTTGGGATCTATGCTTTGTCAACAGTCTCCTCTCCAGCCAAAGAGTTCTGTATAACTCACAGACCAAGGCCCCCCTTCCCACCTGCCAAGGAACTGCCCCTGGACATCCTCTCAGGAATGCTGTCCAGGAACAGAAGAGGAAAATCCTCTTCACTAATCTAGATGTATTTCCTGCACAGATAGAAACTTATGAAATGTGTTTGAAAATTCTCCTTTGAACTTCTTTCTCTGGAGTTGGAAGGAGGGAGTTTTGATTTGGGGTGGGGTGAGGTTTTGCTATGTAGTTCAGGCTTTCCTACAACCTGTCCTGACCTCAAACTCAAGATCCTCCTGCCTCAGCCTCCAGAGTGCTAAGATTACACGTGTGCCACTGTCACAAAGTCCTTTTTGTTTGATTCTTTCTTTCTATTTTTCCTTCCTTTCTCCTGGTTTTCCATAGTTATTTGCTTTTCCTTTAGCCAATAACAGCTCATGCCACTGAACTAAATGAGAATCTTACTAGTTATCCTAAAGTTTTTCTTCTTTTTTTCCCCCCCTATTAGGTACTGGGGAGTGAACCCAGGGCCTTCAGACTCCTTAAGGCCCTTTAGAGACAGGATCTTTCTAAGCACTAGAAAACTTAGCCCAGGCTAAGCTCAAATTTACAAGTCTTCCCACTTCAACCTCCCAGAGTGCTACAATTACAGACCTGCACCCCCATGCCCGGGTAGGGTTATAATCTTAACTGAGTTCGTGTGTATATTTAACAGAATGCTTGGCACACAGTGGGGACTCACTAAACTGCCACCGCTAGTGCCACATTCATTATAGTGTGGCTTTTAAAATCTTTCATGTATATAATACTTGCTCTTTTCTGAAGCATTTCACCTGTAAGGTCAGAAGGGCAGACAGCTGTGGTATCATTTCACTAGTGAGGTGGACAGAAGCAAAGCAGTTTACCCAAGGCCACACAGCCAGTTACAACGCCATACCTAAATTTGTGACTAAAATTTCCTGACACAGGTTCAAATCTCTTCTGCTTCACCAACAACAGAGACCACGTCCTGTTCACCCCACATCCTCTACACCTAGAACTCAACCCATATTTTCTTTTGCTTTTTTTTCCCCCCTGGTACCAGGAATTGAACTCAGGGACTTGTGCTTGCCAGGCAGACTCTGTACCACTGAGTTACATTTCCAGCCCTCAATCCATATTTTCTGATACTAAGAGAGCAGCCTAGTTTTCTTTTAAAGATAAAATAATAAATTTTCTGGAGGAAGAGAAGATAATGAGTTATATTAGTTGACATTTTAGCAGTGTTCAGCAGAATGGATATAAATATAATATTAATCCAATAAAGGATATTCCCTGTGCTGACACAAAGTTTGGTTGGAGGAGCTTGGGTGTAGTGGAGCATGTCTGTAATTCTAGTTATATGGAAGGCTGAAGCAAGAGGACTGCAGTTTGGAGCCCGCCCGCCTGGACAACTTTGGGAAGCTCTATCGCAGACGTGGTGGTGGGGGGTACTGGGAGCGTAGCTCAGAGTCAAGGCTCTGGGTTCAAGTCCCAGTACCTCAAAAGAAAAAAAAAGGTGTCGGGAATTGCATGTTTAAATTGTCTTGTACAATATGATGTTTCTGCATTTGGCTGGCATTGAATATTTCGGTTGATTTAGGTAAGCTTTGTCCCTCTCTCCAGCCTGTGCCAATCTTGAGATGGCAGTGAAGGTAAGAGTTTGACTTTCTGAAGGATGAGGTCCTAGTCCTGGTTTGAATGTGTGGAAACAGACGGTGGCGACCCAACCGGACTCTGTGAGGACGTGCTGCCCCCTGCTGTCCACAGACGCTCTCAACAGTCGCAGTAGACAAAATCTCTTCTGTGCTGAATTCATTTAAAAGATCTGAATTTTTGAATCTTCATGAAGCTAATAAGCCACAATGAATATCTTTTACAGTTTGTTTATTCTTCCCCCTCCAGGTTCACTCAAATTCCTCAGGTTTAAAAACTTCATCCCTCAAATAAACAAATGTAGGGCCAGGGATATAGTTCAGTGCCTGCCTGGCAAGTGCAAAGTCCTGTGTTCGATCCTGGTACCGAAAAAAGAAAAGAAATTCTAGTTCAATCCCTGGTATCACACACACCAAAAAAAGTAATGGGAAAGGATTGTGATGATTTTTAGATAAAAGTTGAGTAACAAAATACCTACTTTTAAGCATCCTAAGGTGTCAGTTGTTTCTGTTGTTTAAAGAAACAAAAGAAAAAGAAAATTTAATCTCTTTGCTGGAAGTGGTGGTGTATGCCTATAATCCCAGCACTTGGGAGGCTGAGGCAGGAAGATTGCCATGAGTTCAAGGCCAGCCTGAATTTCATAGTGAGACCCTGCCTCAAAAAAAAAAAGAAAAAAGAAAAAAAGAAATTTAATCTCTTTGCCCAAAATTTAAACACACTATCCCATTGTGTTGGCTACAACATAAGAAAACAGCCCCTCACTTCAATTCTGATGGGATGGATTATGGAAGGATTTAACATTTATCAGTGTTAATACCACACATCCCCTTTGATCTGGCAATTCTAATTTTAGGGATTTAGCTTATAGCTTTTTGCACACGTGCAGAAGATATGTGTTCAAGGATTTATTGCAGCACTGTTTTTATTGGTAAATGATTGGAAATCACTTAATTATTCAAAAGTAGAGGCCTGGCCAAAGAAATAATAGCATATTATATTGTAAGACATTAGAAAGTCATTTAAAAATATAAAAAAGCACAATCTGTACTGTAGGGGATAAATTCTCAAGTGAGAAAATCAAGACACATAACGGTGGCATCCTGTGGTCTTCTCCCCAACTCCTAAAGACTAGGGTGTTAAAAACCAACCTTGTCCAGTCCCCCAGACCATCCCTCCACCCACCTCCAAACCCAGGAGCCCTCTTTCCATCACCCTCGGGTTCACGAACAGAAACTCAAGTTTTGCCTCAGACTGTCTATCCTTTGACAACTGTGAGCACGTTCCCTCGGGTCCAGATGGCACACACAAAAAAGCTTCCAGTAAAAGTGAGCTCTAGTCTCAACTCTATGAGGAGTCCCTGTCTCAAAAAACAAAAACAAAA